CTCTGAGGTATATCCTCAAAAAATGGAGAGAGGTAAAAGTGATATTTATACCCAAACCTGGAAGGATGGATTACACTGTCCCAAAAACATACCGACCAATTAGTCTGACATCGTTTTCCATGAAGACATTGGAAAGGCTATGCGAAAGGTACATAAGGGATGCGGTGATTACAAGAACACCACTACGCCCAAACCAACATGCATACACCCCAGGCAGATCTACTGAGTCAGTCCTTCATCTAGTTGCTTGCCGGATAGAAATATCCCTGGACAATAAGGAGTCCGCCTTGGGTGTTTTCATAGACATAGAAGGTGCTTTTGATAAAACCACCTTCCCAAAGATAATACACTTACTAACCAATAGGAATGTTCCACAAATGGTTAGTGGGTGGATACATAACATGCTCTCAAAGCGAGCAGTAAACATAAGTGTAGAAGATGTGAATATAAGAGGCTTGGTTGCGAGGGGATATCCACAGGGAGGGGTACTATCACCTCTACTGTGGAATATGGCCCTCGACACCCTCATCAGCCGCCTCAATAATGAGAGTCACTACACAATAGCATATGGAGATGACCTGGTCATTCTGCAAACAGGGAATTTTGAGAACATACTCTGCGAAAGAATTCAAGTAGCTCTAAAAATTATAGAACAGTGGTGCAAGGACCATTTACTGTCTATCAATCCTAAGAAGACAGAAATGGTCCTTTTCACAAGAAAAAGGTTGAAAATGGAATTAAAACCTCCAGAACTACTAAACACAAAACTAAACTTTGCAACAGAGTTGAAGTACCTAGGTCTCACCTTTAACAGCAAGTTAACATGGAACTCGCATTTAGAAACAGAGTTAAAAGAGCATACATTGCTTATGAGCAATGCCGCCGAACCGTGGGGCGCACCTGGGGTTTCTCCCCCAGAGTCGTCGCATAGACTTACACGGCTATCATAAGACCTATGCTAACATACGGTGCAGTTGTCTCCGCACGGTCGGAATAGAACCTGATGTAGGATCTGGTGAGGCGAGACGTCACTTTTGGCAGGAGGCGCTGGATACGCTCCCACTACTTCAAGCGAACATGGACCCCATCTCACCGAAATATATCTTTCATAAGCCATATAAAGTCATAATAGAACAAATAGAAGAGCCAGACGTGGCAGATAGGATTCATATCTACACCGACGGTTCTAAAACAAATCAAGGCTCAGGATGTGGAATATACTCCAGATTCTTAAACCTAAACATAAAATGGGCTGTGAGCAATAGTGCAAGTGTAGTTCAAACAGAGCTAACGGGAATTCTCATAGCAGCAAAAGAAATAACCAGAAACAATATCACTTGAAGGAACATGCTCATCTATACAGATAGCAGACAAGCACTACTCACCCTGAACAGACCACGAATTTATTCAGGGTTAGTACTAGAATGTCACGAAGCTTTGGCCGAAGTATCCATTAACAACGTGGTAACCTTAAGATGGATTAAAGGTCACGCCACATCGAAAGGTAACCGTCTTCCTGATTCACTAGCCAAGAAAGCAGCCAACCAAATACTTTTTGGATCTGGCCCTTCTATTGGCCTGACAAAATCGGTAGTGACAGACCTAATCAAAGAACACAAATACTTAACTATGACTAGACAGAATCTGCGCTTGTCACAGGCATTCTGACTGCTCATTGCCAAGTACGAAAGCATCTCCATATCATGGGGCTGTCAGAATCCGAATTCTGCAGAGGGTGCGAACAAGAATATGAGACCATCGAGCATATCCTTTACGATTGCTCGACGCTCTCATTTATTAGAAGATTTGTGTTCGGCGAGTATCGGCTAACACCGGCCGATATAAAAGAGAAGCACCTCTTGGCGACGTTGTCAACTACATTAAATCTGTAGGCTGGCTCACGAGCTAGGAGGTGCCTATCTTCTCAGGAGGATGCACAATGGGCCTAATGAGGCCTAAGTGACATGGGGTAACCCACCCTCCACACATTACAGATACAGAGAGGAGGAAATCAAACGAACCGCGAAACTTTTCGCTTTTTCAGATATTCATAAAAAAATAATTGATTTTTAAAATCTCCCTATTGGCTGGTGCAGGAAAATTTTAAATTTAGCTATGGTAAAGTGGATCGCTCGCATGACTCACTATAATTAAATAAAAAGAACTAGTACCCACGTGGTGTCTGTCTGATACGAAATTTGCACTATTTCCGAAAGATTAAAATTTCTTGTGTCGATTAATTTGGTAGTCGCACGACATGCGACAAATTCACTAGTAGGTATGTTTAAATATGAGAGAGAGACGTTACTGAAAGTAATTCACATAGAGTTTATTTCTTTCGAAAATTGGTAAAAGTTTGTGAAAACATGACTGCATCCATTTTAGTACGTGAAAGATGTTATTTTGATTATTTACATGAAGAAAATTATAAAACTTAGTGGCGAAATGTATGAGAAAATAATTCAATATTAAAAAAAACTTGGTCGATTGAAGGGTGGCATTTTAATTCTCTCAGACTGCCTAGCAGCCTTAAATGCATAATCAAGTCAAAGCTAATTTGACTCTGTCTTGGAATGCACAATACGGTAAAATTAGCGTGGTTACCAAGATGCAGAGGTATCCTAAGAAATTAAAAGGCTGATGAGCTCGTCAAAGAGGGATCAGAACTACCATTCACAGAGTCTGAACGTATTTTTGGAATAAGAAAGGCCTCTGTTCGGCACACTGAACAGGTAGACTAAACATCAAAATCACTGATAACAGGTAAGAGGGCACATAATCAGTAAGCTCATGGTAAGAGGATTTTAGGATTACTAACGAAACACTATACTATACTGAAATAGTTTCATGTGATGGGATTACGCAATGTGGAAGAGGAAGAAACCTAATGCGACGTTATCTTGGAATACGAAGATCTAGATAGTCGGAGACACATAATTTTCGGTCTGGAACCCGAAGGAGCGCTCCAGGAACCTAATAAATTTAACCATCAAAGGTAAACTATTCCAACATAGTACCTGACTATGGGAAAACACTGTAATACAATAGACCCAAGATGCTGCAGTGTTTTGAGCTAAATCTAACCCTACCTATAGTTATAACCGACAAATATAAATAATAGCGCATAAGGCACACATGGTCCAAAGTAAGCCTAATTATGTATTTTTTTGAACAATTCTATAATGAATTGTTTTGTTAATTTTTTCCTTGCTAGATAAATTACCAAAAAAAATCTCGCTTTATAATAAGGACAAAATATCAGGGTAAGTGAGAATTGTAAATTCTGACGGCATTGTAGTTATTTATTGTCTTTTATTTGTTGGTAAGTCCAGCTAGATATTGTCGCTCTGTGACATCTAATAATACATAGGAAACAAAAATACTTAAGAGCTCAAACCAATTAAGTATCTGTATAAGAAAAAAATGCGTACAAAAATGGAAGTTTTAAGCGTAAAATGTCCATAGTTATGGCTTATTGTCATCTTCCATTCTTGGATAAATAGTTTACAAAGTATTACTTGAACCGTTACAATAGATTACTGTGAGGTACTAATAATTACTTTTTAGATAACAACCCAATTTATATTTCAAGAAATTGTGCTTCGAAGCCACGATACACAGACTAACGGTATGTTCCTGAGCGTGCAGCGGACTGACGGTGACGTCACGTGGGACATAGAATTATAAGCATTAAAAATGGGAAATAGTGTTTAAAATTCAATATTTTGCCAATTTTAGATTTTATGCAGTTACTTAAGCTTTATTGGTTATTTTGTAATAAATTCGTATACAAATATGAAGGTTTAAGGTAAATAATACTAATAAAAATATTAATTTTTCGCATAAATTATAGGTATTTTGTGACAAAATCCATAACCTGGCCATAAGATAAGTAAAAGATATAGACGAAAAATACAAGTTTGACTCAAATTTGTACTTTCTGGACGTGGTAGTTCTCTTGCAATCTCTTTTCTTATGTGAAATAAAAATAAGTGTGCAGAAACAAATTACCTATTTATTTATAAAAAGTAAATACACGAAAACATTACTTTTTATTTGGTAAATTTAAACATTTTTTTGTCAAGTTTACTTTGAAAATGTCCTGCTCATGCATGGCATTACTTCAAAAGGACCGTTGTATTGGGACAGGAAACTACTGTTTTATCTGCTAAAATTTTTAAATGCCGATTTATTTTCTTTGTTTAATGAGGCCCGTGCACCTGGTGGAATTCAGTTTCCTTTTCTTGCGTCTATGTTTAAAAGGAATCTCACAACTACTTACCTCAAAGTGGATAGGACAACTTCAATTAAGTTTGTCCTTTCTTCGATAAGAATTTACCCATATTTTGTGGCATTCGGAAATATCTCCACCGCGCAGCCCGGCATTTTAAACATTAATTTAGTTTTTCCCTGTTATATATAGGAAAATATAGTCACTACTAACACAAAAACAAATAAATTATTAAATTATTTTACACTATTCAATCGAAAAGTGTCAAAATAACTTGAAGTTTGTCCCGCATTACGTCATGCGCGGTTTGGGCGAATTTTGAATCGAAAGTCAGCATACCATTAGTATGTGTATCACTGTATCATGCTTCGAAGCATTAAAATATGACATTACTAGTAGCGTTTTCTGTATAAAGGTGCAAATAACGAGTTTAGGACATCTGGACGTCGCCGTTTCGGCGTGGCCATTTGGACGTCAGGCCATTTCGCCATCGGCGGTTACGGCGTCGGGAATACTATTTTTTAGTATGTATGTTAAAACCGCTGTAAGTTTTATTATGAAATAAGTAAAGTATTGAAATAAGTGAGGTATTGCATAGGATTGGAATAAATATCTTAATCTGTTTTTCAAGTACCTATCAGAATTATAATATTAGTCTAATTAATATTTTATATGAACATTAGTACTTATAAAAATAGTGAAGATGTAGTTTAAGGGATTTACTGGAATAACAAGTGGCTTCTGTACATACGAGAGAGTACAATGCTGATCGACAATTCTCTCTAAATTGCAGAATGGTGATACCTTTGGCATTTGTTTCTATCGATCATTTAAATCATGCCTTTGATGGCGTCAAGTGCAGAAAGGTCGAGATTTATATTTCGAGCAACTTGTGGCGGGCCATCTCCCACCATTGAAGTTAAAAAAATACAGGGATGCAGATGAACGTATTTTACGGCTTGTTCAAAATAACTACAACATGTAATTTCGTGAATAAGTTTAATACAATTAAATATATTATATGTACATATATACTTTAGTTATAGTATACAGACATTTTATTTTAGTCTTCTTTTCGACACGAAAACAGTTTTATTATTTAATTATAATATACCTAATTATAATAAATATAACAATTATTCAAAATTTATAAAAATTATGTTGTTAAGTTCGCCGAAATGGGCCGGCGCCAAAATGGCCGACGTCCAAACGGCCACGCCGAAATGACCACGCCGAATTGGCCACGCCGAAACGTCCCATTCCCGCAAATAACGCTATTAGGAAAATATGACAATTGACACTGTTACAAACGTTCAGTCAATAACACTACAAGAATTTAATGCCGCGAAACTGTCAAAAATACATTTTGACCATCTATTACTGGGTACTTATTTCCAAAATATAAAAATTAATAAATTATTTATGTCGTTATTGTACTTATATGGTCTAATCTTAATTCGCGCATTTCAGTGCAAGTGTCCGAGTTAAGTAATGGAATACTGTCTGATGAGCCTCGACGTGACACATTAGCCGATGCAGTAACAATATGAGTTTGTTCCTTTTGGACAACAACTTCCTCCATGTCGTCGGGTAGATCGCTTAGAGTAGGCATTAGACTTTTTCGTTTGATGAATATATACCAATTCTAAAAATTTTATTAAATGATGGATTATTTTCTTAGACACAAAAATGCGTAGGGTATAGATACCAAATGTCATTTAATATTTTAAGGCCAATTATGACCAACACTAAAATTGGAAATTGTGGATTTTGTACCTAGTTATAATATGGATTTTTATAAATAAACGATATTCGTTAAAAATAATAACTTATATTACATCTGCACATTATGTAATTTGTACCAAATCAACAATTGTCAAAAATGAAATGTCCAAATCCGTTTCTTTAAAAAAAAGTACAGATGCGTCATAATGACGACATGAATAATCAAAATTTTGTCTTTATGTCACCGACCCAAATTATACAGGGTGTTTCTTAATTATATGCGAATATGAATATGAAAAATTAATGAGAGTTTGCTTTATAAATGCTGCGTTTGAGAATCCACATCGGATGCATCTGAGATGTAAAAAATCTTTGATCACGTGATTCAGTATACGTAAATGTAATGGGACAGATGTGTCCGATGTGGATAAAAAAACGCTCGAGATGTAAAAAATGCATCTGATGTGGATTCTCAAACGCAGCATAACTATGGTCTAAAAATGTTCCGTTACGAAAATACACTGTGCTAAAGTTTTGAAAAAAAAAAGGAAAATGGATTATTATTTTTGTAACTGCTTGAGATATTTCAGTGATATTTAATATTCAGTGACAGTTAATAATGGTGCATATTTTTGAATACAAAAATAATTTTTAGCTTTAACAGTGACGTGCATACGGGCACTAACCTCAATATGTTTGAAGAAAGAATGGTAAGCCAAGGGTTTTTTCCAAAATAAAAATTATTTTTAATTCCCCGTTCAAACTTAAAGGATCTCTTATTGATTTGTTTTCCTACGTTTTTGAGTAAAAAAATAAAAACTGTTGTATTATCCGACAAAATTAATGTAATTATTAAAGAATTAGAGAACAAATTTGACTTTTGAACCATAGTTTATAAAGCAAAGTATCACTAATTTTTCATGTAGATTCATATCCTTAAATATTCGCATATCATTAAGGAACAGCCTGTATAGTAGTAGGTATATGTAATAGTATGTAACTATATAGTGGGTTTTTTACACTCTACCCAAAGGAAATCGAAAGGATTTAGAACAAAACTAAGTATTTTTATATCAAATACAAAAAACTGTCTTTTTACAAACTAACTTTATGTTAACCTGTCAACTAAGTCATCTGACTGGTCATTGCCAAGTACGGAAGCATTTCCATATCCTCAGGCTGTCAGAATTCGCACTCTGTTGGGGATTGCAAACAAGAAAATGAGACCATCGAGCATTTCCTCTACGATTGCTTGACGTTCTCATTCATTAGAAGATTTGTGTCCGCCGAGTATCGACTAACACCGGTCGATATAAGAGAAGCACCCCTCGATGAGTTAAATCTGTAGGCTGGCTAATAAGCTAAGAGATGCCTTTCAATTTAGGATGATGCACAATGGGCATAGTGAGGCCTAAGTGCAAATACAGAAGTCATCTGTCAATGGGTGTTTTCTCGTTATAGGTGCATATATTACACCTATGCGATATGTCGAACCAATTACCCCATGTCCCCAGTTACCCATTGTGTTGTAGCACTTCATATATCACGTCATTTTTCGTGTCACCTTTCATGTAACCTATCAATTATGTCATCTGTCACTTCATATGTCACGTTACCCGTCACTTCATATGTCACGTTACCCGTCACTTCATATGTCACGTTACCCGTCACTTCATACGTCACGTTACCCGTCACTTCGTATGTCACGTCACTTATCATGTTAACTGTCATATTGACTTGAATTTATTACAAAGAAGTAGAGAGGCTAGAACGATAAGGTACCGTCTGCGCATCCATCACGAGTGTAGAAATTATGCGTGATTCAACCTTCCACTCTTATACATGTAAATGACAAGGATTGGCTTTGTTCAGCGATTATGTTCATGTTCAGCTCTGTTTTTTGTTTGTTTTGTGGCTGTTGTAAGCTTTTTTGGCGTCAATTCTTTGTTATCTTGCGTATATTTGTGATTTTTTTGTGCTTTTATTTCAATTTAGTATTAAATTATATTTGTTAATTATTTTCCGATGCACTATTTTATAATTGTTGCACAAAATGTTGTTAAACCGTCCCTGAATCTTGTTTACAAAATGTGCAAAACGAAGTTGTGCATAGTGTCTAGACTTTTTCATTTACAGTTATCATTCTACCCCTCTCCACTTCATTGATTTGTTATCGCATATGTTAATGGTGCTGCCATCTATTGTATCTCTCCCTATCACTATGATCATGACACCATAGCGCACTATTCCTACAAATTTCATTCAAATTTACAATACGGCTCTGACTTTGACGACATTTTCGCATAAATCGTTGTAACGCAACTATACTTTTTACTGTTGAAACGGAGTCTAAAGACCGATTCCACCGTTGTGTTAAGCGAAGTTTAAAATGACATGTTTACATAGGACCGATTCCACCGTTGTGTTAAATGAAGTTTAAATTGACATTTTTACATTAACAATGTCATTTTAATCTCCGTTTAACACAACGGTGGAATCGGTCCATACAATATCATTTTAATCTTCGCTTAGTAATTTAAACTTCGTATAATACAACGGTGGAATCGGCCCTTAGTATATAAATTTTATAAAATTTTTGGGTCAAATATTTCCTCAAATATTATACAATGAAAAATGCGCTAGTTCAGTGATGATGTAATTATGGTTCCACTGACAATTAAAGTGACAGTAGATTTTTTGAGTGTGTTTTGTTCGTTTTGTTTACCTAAATTATATCGTTTTTTTCACTTTTATAAATATATTCCTAAAGTAAGTAGATAGCATGTATCAAATATACAATCGTTCAGTTACCAATTACATACCTTTAAACTATTTTTTATGACCTGTAAACAATATTTTGAAATAAAATAAAAACAGTAAAAACGTATATGTCAAATTTATTGATGTTTTTGTTAAAAGTTTGGTTAGAATTAAATGTCAGTGAAACCAAAATGACATCACACTAAACTAGCGCATTATAAGTTGGAACTTAGTAACTATTGATTGCTATTGGCATAATCTTTACCGATACTACGAAATAACAATTAAATTATTTAACTTACCAATAAACAGGATAAAATAGCATAAATGATAGCCATTCCACTGCTTTCATTGACGTTCTCTAAAGCCAAAACGACTATGAACCAGACAATGTCATACCCCGTTTGTATGACACAAAGCAATTTCAAACAAGTCTTTGATTCTCTCAAACTGACAATTTCCTCGTCCATCGCATCATCTTTGTGATCCTTTAACAGTTCCAGCTCATTCCTGAGGGCGTTTAACGATTCTGCGGAACTATTTAATTCCAGTTTGCACAGTTCCATGTTAATTTTTCTGATCCCGCTGAGGGAATGAATCGTTGTTAGGAATATTAAGATTGAGACCGGAAACATGTAGTTCAAAATCATTCCTTTTTGAACGGATATGAAGCAGAATCTTCTGGATTCGTAGCTGTGTGGCGTCATGAAATATGTTGCCTAAAAATAATATTTTTTTTAACGGGCCAGAAATTATTATCATTTTGCGGTTTATTTGTATGTCATAAAATAGGATTTTGACAGACTCAACTCAGAAATAGTTGTTTTTGTTATTAGGACGAAAATACGTTTCGTCCGTGTTTCATACATTATTTTTTATTCGAATGTGCTCATGGATATTAAAAAAAATGTAGAAAATTAAATTCACAATGATATTTCCAATTTTTCTTATAATTGAGACGCTGTGATCGATAAGAATGACTAAGTAGGTACATTATTGATAACAATTGAACAATTTCTGCCATGTTAAAGTGCTTATGTCAAATCTATTTAATTATACTTTATTTAGTTTTTCTCTTATTCAATTAAAAAGGTTTCTATTCAAATTTGATGTACATATGGATTATGGACTAATATTTTACAATAGCAAAAAAAAATATCGTCAGATATTTACAAATTATACATAAGGACTATAAATTCATATAATATTTGTAAGTCTAGAATAAAATCAATCCTTAAAATTACCGATAGAATCATATTACATTATTTAGTATTATAAATAGTTGTAAATAGGTTAAAATATTCTAATTAAGTAAAATATTCATAAAAAAATAAAAACATACATTACATTGCATTATACAGGGTGTTTCCGAACTTGGCGTCCAAATTTGTAGGGGTGGTAGTTCGCATAATTTGAGACCGATTCGCAGATTTCATTTTTCCAAAATATTTAAAATAAAAATAATGAAAAATTATAAACAGGTACGGTCCTGCACAGCAATGGGACGCCTCGACTCGCGCGCGCTACGCTTAGAATCGATATCGCATCTGTTTTTGAGGACTATTGCGCTACGCGCTCAGGGTAGGACCTGCTCTTTGATTTTTTTTTTATAATGGCTCTATTTTGTTTATTATAATTTTTTTAGAAAAATGAAATCTGCCAGTTGCTCTCAAATTATGCGAACTACCACCCCTACAAATTTGGACGCCAAGTTCGGAAACACCCAGTATAATCCATATTTACATAATATATAAATATAAAGACGCTCAAAAAAAAATATATATATATATATAAAATATAAAATATAAATATAAATTTTTCAAGCCCATGTACAAGCTTTAGGTTTTATGGGTCACGTGTGTTTATTTCAGTGGCGTGCGGTGACATTTTTGGAAGGGAAGCGATTGTATAAAAATACAGAAGACCAGTAAGCACAGCGCCGCGGGCGAAAATTTTTCGCGACGCATTCACCATTTTGTCAAAATCTTGCTTTTTTCCTCAGTACTACGGATATTCGAGATTGAGATTTTTGAAGTGTTACTATTACTTTATTACCTAGTTTAGTACTAGAAGCTATAAAAAAACTTACCATTGAAAAGCTTCCTTGGTTTATTTAAACGTAAAAAAAACATTTAACTGAAGTTTTTTTTATTTTCTCCAGCATTTTACGCACCTTTGACACATCAGTTGACATCCTCAATGGCTGCAAATTTGTTTATAACATCGTCATAAAATTTTGGATTTTCTGATAACTGTTTTAACAAGCTGTTTTTCAATGGATATTGGGGCTAAATTAGAGGGTCTGTCTTCACTTGTTGAATTTCGTATAAAACTTTTAATGCGCTTTAAAGCTGAAAAACTTCTCTCAACTGACGCACTAGTGGCTGGGATGGTTAGTACTAATTCACACAACTTGACGACTTCACAAAGGGACTTATTTAAACCAGTTGTTATAAGAAAATTTAATACATTGATGGGCTTCTTTTTATCACTAATTTCAGTCGTTTCATAAACAACACTTAACTGGGACTTTAATGCTGGAATATCGAAACAATTTCCATAATTTAATTTTAGTGAATTAAAAGCTTCCGATGGAAATTTTGATGAATCGTAGTTACTAATATTAAAATTGCACAATTCAACAAATTTTAATTCGTTAAAGTTTTGAAATCGAGAGTTCATTTGTTGTAAAATATTATCAAAAATTTCGGCGTATAATCGACGATAGGAGGTTTCTCTGTCGCCGACATTATCAATTCTAATTCTCTCTCTTTCAGGTTCTAAGCCAATGTTTTGAGTCTTATTCTAAAAGTGTTCAAACTAATCTCTTTTTTTATTTTTTTTAATTTGGTGTCGACTAATTTTATTTTTAAAATTATCAATTTGTTTAATGCAAAAGTCAATGTCATTTGACTTTGTCTGTAAAATGTCGAATAAAATGTCAGCACGGTATTGAAACACTGTTTGCACTTGTAGTTCAATCGCGTCCCAGCAACTTTTAGAACGTGGATGTCCAAAGCGCGAGTTCCTTTCGATGACTTTGAAAAGAAGGAAGTCAAACCACTAAGCGTCGAAAATAAAACTTTGCAATCTTTAATATTATCCATGCTTCGCGATAAAACCAAATTAAGTCTATGTGCTATACAGTGAACGAAAATTGCATGTTTAAACTTCTCTTTCACTTTAGCTTGAAGGCCTACTAAATGGCCAGCCATTACGGCAGCACCATGGTAGCTCTGGGCAACAAGCTTACAACCACATTCTAAACTTGAAATAATGTCACAAACAATTTTAAAAAATGCATCTGCAATTCTTTCGCTAGTGACGTCCAAAAATCCTAAGAATCGCTTTTGAGGAATGCCATCCAATACATAACAATGGATAATTGACTTAAGTTTGCTACATCTGTGGTTTTATCAAGCGCAATTGATACGAAAGGTGCTTTTTTAATTTCACTTTTATTGTGATCCATCACAACGTCGGCAGTGCATTTAATTAAATCATTTTAGATTCTGTTTGAGGTACCTCGGAAAGTCGTCGAATCAATAAAATGATTTTTTAGGGTATCATCGTATTTTGCTAAAAAAAACTTAGAAGATCCATGTAATTTCCTCGATTGGCGGATCCACTTGCTTCATTGTGACCCCTAAAACTTAGTTCATGCTCTCCCAGGATACAAGTTACATCTATTAATCGTTGTAAAACGTCCCTATTTTTTTTACACTTTCATTGTGAATTTTGTTGCTTATTTTTAAATGATTGTCCAAACTATGTTCAATGCGATAGGTCCCGAATGTTTTTTCTTTAATTGTAGCACTTATTTGAGATTTGCTATGTACATGTCGTTTTACACTTTTGTGAAAATTATTCAAGTCTGTAATACCGACTGAGTTCCAATGTGTTTTTTCGGCTATATTAAAAAGTAGGCAAGGCCAGCAAAACAATTTCTTCAAAGTTTTGTAGCCTGATAAATTTCTTTGCTGACTTTTCTACTTTCGTCTCTAAATTGATAGGATCCTTTAGTCTACTAGAATTAATAATGTCCATTTTCTCTTAAAAATGTCTACTTGAAAATCCTTTTTTCAATAAAGAGCACACAATACAGACACAATTTACCACATTATTATTGTTCACAGGCACAGTGCATAGTTCCTCCATTTTACAAAAAGAAAAACAACTACGAAAAACAAACCGAAATCTATCTGAAATCTACGATTTTCCTCACACGTCGATTTGCGGTGCGAATTGCAATATGCGTAAGGTGAAGTAAAAATCGCTGCCTCTCGACCGTATTTCACGTGTCCAAACAGACTGACTACTGTCGCTGCAAAGCAGGGTCAATAACATGAAGCGAAATCAATTGGAAGATGAGCCGGCTTTTTCAAAACGCGCTTCCGCCGACGGACTCAAAGTATATGGTGTGGTGTGTGCGTTTACACAATTAATTTTCTTATGGTTGGTGCGTGCGTTTGCACATTACACCAATGAATTGTTAGTACATTTACGAAGTTTACGTAATGTTTCAGAGAAAATATAGTACCTAATTTAATATTAATTTCTATGCATTGTAAACTGAAAAATATTTATTTTTAAATTTCAAAGTGTAGGGAAGCGCTGCTTCCCCCGCTTCCATGGACCGCACGCCCCTGGTTTATTTACTATTATTATTACTATTTTAGCATATTAGTTTTTTTAGCAACTGTGTAAAAAAGATGTATAAGTTATCTGTAAATATACATTATTATTATATTAAAAGGTAAATCAAAAATAAAACAGAACGTTTAGATAGCGGAGCCGCTTTACTTTTGCGGCCCGGGCACTAAAATTACTTTTTAGTATTCCATTTGTTGTGGTATATTTTAAAGTTCTCCTCTTCGATTATGTTTTCTGTTCGAAAAGTAACGTCTTATGTCACATTCGAATAAAATAGTAATTTACATTACAAGACCGGAAAGTAGGGTTTTGCAGGTCGAGACAAACAGATTCCAGGGCGAGCCGTAGGCGAGATTTAGAAGCTTGGAGAGACACTAATTTTCGGTCGCGTGACGTACAATATTCTTTTTTATTGGTACCCTATTTTACTTATTTAAAGTACGCCTCAGCGTGTTTAAAACGAACTTTAAAAACGCGCGTTTTAAAGTTACCAAGGCAACATCAACAACCCGAGAAACGTGATGTCTAAATGCCAACTTTTTAAATATTGATCTGACAGGAGTGCCTTGTAATGCCAAATAAAATATTTCTGAGAAATTTTTCAAAAAATGTATTTATCAGCTAAGCGTAAATCGCACAATTCACATCTTCTACAAGAGCCAACGATGCCACAAATAGCAACCACCTTCAAAAATAAATACGTAATGTCCGGTGCATCTGTAAAAAACTTCCGCAAATCGTCTTCCTCGAATAAATATGCCTTCTTGAATACCTCATTTTTGCTAATTGCCTTCATGAATGCATGCACTTTGACGAAATATTTTATATCGACCCCTTTGTATATCCTCAACATACTTTGTAATTTTGAATGGATAGTCCACATAGTCGATACTTTATACTGTTCCGACATTTTCTGGAGATAAGCACTCCGGTTGCGCCGTCGTGCTCGAAAAATCGCGCGTGTTTTGAAGACCGTTATATATACTTATACTTTAATATACTATTTTGTAAGACCGACACTTCGATGTAAAAACAATTATTTATTTTATTAATAAAAATCTACGGTCAATTGGTTTCCATAGTAACTTAGTTAGATATGGATTCTTTAAAACTTTAAAATGACGTATTTTGACATTTTGTTGTAAATACGACAATTTGATTGGGAAGACCAAAAACTATAAAATTGTATTTACGTTTAATATTACTATTCAAATATAATATTCATGTTTCTAAACCAAACATTTACCATTGTTAAAAAATGAATAAGTTTTAAGATTTGTGTCATAAATACCTACTTACCAATGTTAGAAATGTAGGGATATCGTAGGCAGCCATGTTAAAATATTTGACTTTCAAATGACGTTCTTTGATTAAACCTCCAGTAGAAAAACGTTTGTAGATATAGAAACAATATAAACACAGCCAAACTGATGTCATTAAATGAAGAAAATATAATATCAATGATATTATCAGACATTTTGTTGCACTTTTGGTAGCCTAAAAAAAATAATGTATTTAAATACAAAGATGAAATATTGAAATATTTTCTAATATAACTCACATAAACTCCTAACATAAATATCAAATTTGATATGCAAAACGTTCCCAGAATTTGGAAAAAAATATAAGTCATCATCTTCTCTCCTCTTTGATTCTTTTTGAGCAACACGCAAAAAATCGTGAGCAGCTGCGCGAAACAACTGAGTACGGACCCAATAATAATGATTTCCGGTCCGTACGTCCCAGTATTCCTTGTATGGGACCCATAATACACGTACATTATGTTGTCTATAAAGTCATGGTCTCGCAAATCCGGATCAGCTAAAGAATCTTCAGGAAGTTCCACGTTCGGTAGCACGTCCACCGTATATTTTGATTGAAGATTTTGAGGGTTCGGCAGGAATAAGGAATTTGATTTTAGATCTAAGTTGACCGAATTATTTTCGGTTTCATAGTCATAGTTTAAGTAGTAATCTTCTTCTGGTGTTTTTCGAGCGTTTGAGTTGTTGACACCTGAAAGAATCCAGTAATGTTCTTATTTGTATATTTACGGGCAAGCCCATTATTTAGGATACAATAACTTGTTAAAATTTTAATAAATTAGTTTAGTATATGTTTTGGATATTACGCTTAAATCAAATTTCGTTAAAAAATTGCCAGTCTGCATTAAAATATGGCAAATTTGGGGACAATGACAAAATTGGCGGGAAAATTACAAAACTGGTAAAAAAATTACAAAATTAACTAATCATGAATTTGGTTTAAAAGATGAAAAATTTCCAAATTGTATCACAAACTGCAAATTTAGTAAGAAGTTTGAATCTTTCACCAAAAAATCCCTTTTGGTTCACAAATTTGCCAAATTGACTCAAAAATTGACAATTTTGCCCAAAAAATATAAATCTGGTTCAACACTATTACGCTTGAATCATATTTCGTTCAAAAATTGCCAATCTGCATTAAAATATGGAAAATTACAAAATTGGATCACAAATTTGCAAAATTGACAATTCTGCCCAAAAAATACAAATCTGGTTCAATACTTGCAAAGTTTCAAAAATTTAGATCAATAATAGTCAATTTGATTAAAAATATGAAAAAATACACAAAAATACTCAGTGTAGTCGTAGGCTCCGAGCAATTACTACTAGAGGGAGCGTGAAACGAGTTTGTAGGCGATTGTTGTGTTCGCAACATCTGTTGAGGAAATGGGCACAAAGGGGAAGGTAAACAACCCCTCTTGTTCAGTGGCGTATCAGTTCTCTGTAAGAACACACATTGTCCAGACTTTTTAATTAAAAAAAAAAATTAAAAAATTCGTTAATTTTACTATTTTTAAAATGTTTACCGTCTTATATATGTCTGATGCAGGAAATAAAACAAAATCACTGCAAAGGTCTAGTTTTTTCAATTAAAGAATAAAACCTCAAAATCAATATATCAGTTTTATTATAAATAAATACAGGAGCGACTAGTTTCGGCCTCACATGAACATCTTCAGGCCTGTAATAAAATAATCCTTAATTATTATTATAATATAGCTAAAGCTCTCGGGATCTAAGCAGATTATTAATGCCAAAAATAATGTTTCATCAAACTGATATTAAAATATTCTCGAGATTTAGATTCAACAAAAAGAGCTGACTATTATCAAGGTCTTAGTATATTACCCTTGACAATCTATCATAATAAAATAAATAATGTCATAGCAACTCATAACGTAGTAACGTTACCAGGTCCATTCAAGGTGAGCTCACAAAATTAAAATATGACCACAGTGGTTCAGCAAAATAGAAATTTGGCGTAAAAATGTACAACTATCAAATTTATTAAGAAGTTTCTGCAAAAGGATTTGATTTATTTTAAAATTTCCCAATATAAATGAAAAATTGTGTAAAATATCTAATTTAGATCAAAAATTGCCAATATGAATTTAAAAAATGACAAAATTTGGCCGAATAATGCTGAATTTGGTTTAAAAAATTGAGAGTGGGCTTATAAAATATCCAATTTGCAAATTGCAAACTGCAAATTTATGAAAAGTTTCAACTTTCTCAAAAAAAAAAAAAAATGTTTCAAACATTTGCCAATTTGGCTCAAAATTTGGTACTTCTGACCAAAAATATGGTTCAATAGATACTTGTATTTGGATAAATAATGGCTAATTTGATTTAAAAAATGAAAATTTGCCTCAAAAATACCTAATGGCATCAAATATAATAGGCTGGTGAGAATAATGGAACTGAATAATGTGACATTTTCCCACATTTAAATTCATGCCGTTTTTACACCAATTGAATCGGATGAATGATTAACATTCAGTGTCGGTCTACGGGTCCAAAGAATCAAATGCGAAGAAACCACGGAATATGTGGCAACCTCGGAAAAAGCATCAGTGTACAAAGAGGACTTTTTTGCTCTTCAATGTATCGGACCATAAAAAAATTAATAGGTGGCCCTTCTCCCATCTGAACCGGTAGGCCCTGGAGGTCCCAATCCGACACTGTTATATCAAACTGTAAATGAATAGCATTTCCAAAGTTGTTGACAATTTGGAAAAGTTTAAAGATCGTTGACAACTAAATTAAAAAGAAGATGTCCCAGATGGGAACCTTGGGGAACGTTTTGAGGTCCCCTGAATCCGTTTTGACTATTTTCGCAATGATGTGTGCGTGCGTGCGTGTGTGTGTGTGTGTGTGTGTGTGTGTGTGTGTGTGTGTGTGTGTGTGTGTGTGTGTGTGTGTGTGTGTGTGTGTGTGTGTGTGTGTGTGTGTGTGTGTGTGTGTGTGTGTGTGTGTGTGTGTGTGTGTGTGTGTGTGTGTGTGTGTGTGTGTGTGTGTGTGTATGTGTGTGTGTGAAATTTGAAGAAAACTCAAAAACGGATATAAAAACAATAAATTTTAAACTTAAGTTTTATTTCGGCCTGACGTGAAATGATTAGATTTTGGACAAAGTCGGAACATCTGGGGGGGTACTTTATGGGAGGCCATTTTTATATTTTATGGAATATATTTGTTATTTATGTTTGGAGAAAAAAAAATTGTTCAAATAAAAGTTACTTCTAATATTATTATCTATAATTTCTGTTTTTTGTCAAAATTTGCTGAAATGGTCCGCATTCGAGAAATTTGACAAAATGTGCAAAATTCTGATTTTTATGAAAATTGTTTAACTAAAAGTTGTTTGTGATATCGATCTCTATAATTTTTGTTTATACATGATTTTTCTAAAATGGACCGTAATAAAAAAATTGTAGGAAATTTAAATTTTTCAGTATTTTCGTTTTCAATGAATATCTATAAAAAAATGTTTCGAGGTAGATATATGTGGACAATGTATATATTTAGTTTATCCTCTAAACATTTATAGAGATGCTGCAATAGGTTGTACAAAATAACCGGAAAAAGCCTATAATAACTAGATAGGAAAGTCATGTGTTGGACAAATCAGATTTTAGATTGTCTATAGTTGGAACTAGTTCATCCACCAAATTTTGTAATTAGTGCAAAAAATAAAATGTAATGCCCTCACCAAATTTTTGAAACTAGTGCATCCACCAAATTTTGTAAATTTCGTGGAAGAATAAATAATATTGAGAACAAAATGGTATTTAAAAAAAAAAAATATTAAAAAAAACACTATTTTTGATATAAATTATTGGTGGATCAATGATAAGAGTTTGTAGAACAGGAGTGGATATATCGTTCATTTGGAAGAAGAGGGTTTTATCTCAAAAACAATAATTTTTCAAAAGAACAAGTTTAAATAAGCCTAAAAACTAGAAAGTTACATCTGCTCTCTGGTGCTGTTAAGCTAACTTGTTCCCATTTTTCCTATAAAACCTGAGATAATTTTAAATAGATTCTCGTTAAAATCTCAAAATTGAAGTTTTTTAAGATGTAAAAATTCAAAGTCTGTCAACCATTAATTTCAAATACTTCATTCATTATAATCTATTTTGGACTAATTTTAGTCAAGATATTATATGAAATTTTTGATATTATTATATTTGGATCATTGGAAATTTATTCCTTAATTTCACAGCTATTTTTCATTAGTTTTCGAACATAACATTAATTTCTCAAACTCATACTCATGGGTATAAGAAATACTAAACCTTATTTCATCTAAAGCAACAAATTTTTTAACAATTCTCTGTATATTTAGTTAAAATTGTAGAGAAAAAATTGACTCTGTAACTATTAAGCACTATATATTGACTAAATTTCTTCTGTCAACTATTTAAATTATTTTTACTTCTTGTATTATTTCTCATTTTAAAATATTATTAGATTTGAAACGTTTAAACAATGATTCTAGTTTTCCTTAAAATTTCTTACAATTTACAGACATTTACCCTATTATTATCATGGACCTATTTATTTATTTAATTTCTTGAAATGATTTGATTAATAATTTAGGTATCAATATTTGAGAAAAGAAATTATCTGAAAAATTTTAAACTTGAAAATTAAAGTGTAGCCTGAACTTAAAACCAATAATATTTACGTATACCTAATGGAATCTAGGATTACTATTCTTCTAATGATGTGTGCAACATTATTTATTTTTAAACCTATATTTCAACAATACACTTACCTGAAACGGACTCTCTGGTACACAATAAACAAAAAATCAACAATAACAAACGCATTTTTAATTAACTCCGTACAAAAATCTGATTTTCTATAAGAAGCTCCATCGGGAGGCTGGATAACGGTCCAGATAAATACTGATCAAAATGCACGGTGGGATCGCTTAACTCAATTTATCTGGACGATTGCTTCACGGAGAAAACAGTTGAGCAGCTGAAAATCGAGAGAAAACTTAGAAATGATAAAACAGGTTGTTTCGTTCGACCACTGTAATGCGTATGCGCTCTGATCGGATCAATAAAGCTAAAAACTGGTTAAAATTTATTCGTAATTTATTTAAAAACTAGGTTTTAAATATTGAACATTTTAATTAATAAAGTATTAACATTGGTTTTCCGTGGATAAAATAGAGAACATTCCGAAAATATGTTCTTATTTACCTATCTACTCAAAAAAAAAAGGTTCGGAAGGTAATTTTAAATAGAGATCTTTTTTTGATTTTGGAAAAAATATAAAAATTGTAATATACATTATGATAAATAAAATGTATTTAAAATAAGGAAACAACAAGAGTACGTTATTTTTTTTTATACTTTCCAAAATATAAAAATTTGAGGGCGCCTGATAGCCCTTTAGCGGTGATGTAGTAGCTAGCCATCTAATGATTTGCATACCTCATCTGTGACCCACCGGCGCATCCAAGAGGGGGACAACGGGGCAATTGTCTCCCTTTTGAGACTAATAACATTAGTAGTTGATACCTATGAGCGTTAAAATTAATCCAAGCTATGAACTCAGTAAATTGCCCCTCTCCCCCCCCCCCCCCCCTTGGGAAGGTTCTGGATCCGCTCCTGCACACTGCACCTTTAGATTAGATTTAATTAATTAGGACTATGGGCCATGTGACCTCTCCCACCTCGACCTTTTTAGATCTATTGTTTAGAGTACCTTGTCTAATTCGGTCTTTTGTAGTATAGACTCGATAGACTGGGAAGTAGTTCTCCAGTATAGCTTGGTTTTTCTTCTCCAAGTGTAAGGAATCTCAGTCTTGCTAAACCTTCGCAGTAGCACAATACGTGTTCTGCCGTTTCCTCCTCTTCTTGACAGAATCGGCACAAGGTCTCTTCTGTCAGACCGATATTGTACATATGTTTGTTAAGCCTACAATGCCCTGTTAATAGACCTACTAGTACTCTAGTATTTTTCCTATTAGGGCTTAGTAGATGCTCGGTGGGTTTAGGCGATGGTCCTTTTAAGAACTCTTTGGCCAGTCTCTGTCCTGGTGAGTTTTTCCACCACTCCTGAGGTTTTTTAAACATCCATGCACTGCATTGTGCATGTTTTGATAGTTGTTTTTGTTACAATACAGAAGGGTACTGGGCCAATAAGAACATTTGAGGCTCCTTCTCGGGCTAGTAAATCAGCTTCTTCATTGCCCTTATGTCCCCTGTGGCCTGGTACCCAGGCTAAGGTTAGTCTGTCACTGCACCTTTAAAGGGGTAGGTACGATCGTTTTTTCAGCCCATATTTTTTATTACTTTGAGTTGTCTGACGTCTCCTTTGCAGGAGTTCTAAACTAAATCCTTGCATCCTTCCTGATGGTTCTGTCAACCACTTTACAAAATTCCAGCCGGAGATACGATCGCACCACCTTGCGCGGCCCCTAGCTCTCAGTCTAAGAGAGTAATGAAAGTTATTTTCCGAAAATAACTACCACTACCGGTATACAGGGTGTCCGATAAATGTGTGCCATGTCAAAGTTATGATTTTTATAAGAAACATCCTTCGAGCATGAAACATCTTATAACTTTTCACTCGATTGAATTCCTTTTAAAGAGTGTTTCTCAAAAATATAGAGTTGTAATGGGTTTAAAACAGGTGGTTCGAAATTTGTTGTAAGATTTGTGTCACAAAATGGGTTCATTAACATCAAATATCTCAAAATCAACAATGTGGAATAAGTATTTCAAATGCAACAACCACAAATAAGTCCATACTGTGGGCTTGTAGAAATTGTATGGTTTGTCTACAATATTTCCATCGAAAATGTATCTTATTCTTAAGGAAAAGTTGAAAAGTCATAAAATAAAGATTTTAAAAAGCGTAAATTCACAGCAAGAAATGACAAGTAGTAAATAAAATTACAAAAAATAAAGAAAATGAATTAGCAGTACGATGCTTTCAACAGTTAACAATCCTCATGTTATTACGAGAGAAATTACAAGAGAGCTAGACATTAATCATACTTAAACTGAATATTAATAAAAAATAACCTTCATGGATAACGAATTGAATTATATATCAAGAACTCTATAAAAGGGATTATGATACCATAGAGTTCACTCTTGGGAAGATATACCGAATTTTCATTCTCGATAGACCAACTTTTCTGAAATACATTTTGGTGATGAGTTCACATTTGAAAGTATTGGGATAGTAAATGTACATAATTACCACTATTATTGGACAGATAATTCCCATTGGGTCAGGGAAGTTGATAAATAAAATAGATGGTCGACAAATTAAGGAACAGGTCAGATGACCAGATTTCTTTGATTTAAAATAGAATTTATTCGTCAATAAAAGTCTTTCTTTACATGTACATGTTTAAAAACTTATCAGACCAGTCAAGTTTATATACATTCAGCTTTCACACAGTACCAGTTTAAAATTATACAGATTTTATATAACATTATACAGTAGTAAAATATACAGGGTGGCGCATTAGAAACAGTCCACCTCAAATATTATTGGCGGGGGAGGTATTTGCGACAAACCCCGAGACACATCGATTTTTGATCGTTAACTCATGGTTGTACGGTCATCTCCCTAAAAAGGGTGGCAACCCCTTCGAGAATCTTTACTAACATGGGGGGTTGAGTGGCACATCATTTGAAAGGTATTTCGATTTTCTTTACAGTCATGCTAATATTTGTGTGTTAAGTGTTAAAAGTAATGCCGAAAACCAGTTTAAAATGTCCCTTAAGGACGGGGTCTCCCTGCTGTAGACCAAAAGTTAAATCGACCGATTTCCGAAAGTAGGGCATTAAAAAATTTAATTTCATCCCAACTAGAGATAAAGGTCTAACTTGTGTAGTCTTACTATTTTAAATTGTTAAATTGACGATTTTCAATAAAAACAATAATTTTAAAATAACACCATTTTTTCATTTCCATGGAGACATTTAACAGTTTTTTTACTTTAAAATTATTCTTTCCATTGAAAATTAATTATTCATCAATTTAAAATAGTAAGAATACCTAAGTAAGACCTTTATCTTTAATTTGGCTGAAATTTTTAAATTTAACATCTTCGGAAATCCTTGGTCTACATAGGGAGACCCGTCCTTAAAGAAATCTGAATAAAAAGCTGCAATTAATAACTACATACTGAAACAGCAAAAAATATATTTATCAGCATTTAACGAGATAAGATAATGGTTTTTAGTAGAATTTTACGGGTACCTAGTTTTATTTTAGTGAAATTTCTTCATTTGCTATTTTAGAAACAACGAGTATGCACTTTTGGGACATGTTGCATTGGATCCCACTTCAAGCAAGAGACAAATAGCAGCAGCTACAGGAATTCCACGTAGAAGCCTTCAGAGGGTCTTGAAACAGCATAAATTCCATCCCTATAAGATTCATCTCGTGCAAGAGCACAACGAAGACGATCCAGATCGCCGTATCCAATTTTCTGAGGAGATGACTGGAAGAGTTGTGAATTGTGAACAATCCCTACTTTTTATATTCAACATGCTTTTCTGACGAATGTAGGTTCTTTTTTAATGGTCACGTAGACACATATATTCGCAGATACTGGAGTAATGTAAATCCTGTAATTATAAGAAAACAACATAAACAGAATCCCCAAAAATTATGTGCTGGGGTTTTTGGAAATAATATTGTTGGTCCGTTTTTCCTACCTCATAACTTGACGGGTGAATCTTATCTTAATTTGCTCGAAGACATCTACCCTCACATTGTGGAAATAATGGAAAACGATGATCAGATCCCAGAGAATGATTTTTTTTAACAGAATGGCCCTCCACCACACTATGCAGCACCTGTGCGTGACTTTTTAAATCAACATTTTGCGCTTTGTTATTTACATCATAAAAAAACTTCACAAAGGCGCAACACCTTTTCATTTTTTTAAAAACCAAAAAGAGGACCATAAAATATGTATGTATTATAATGCTATTAGATTGAGGGCTGATCATGAGTTTTTTTTTATTTTTTTATTACCAAAACAGAAATCTATGATTTAGTTTAGAAATCTGTGATTTAGTTTTATTTTTGAAAGGTATTACCTATGTTTTTGTTGAATTAAAGTATATTTTTGAAGTTTTTGGATTTCTTTTTTATGGAGCTGACCACGTTAACAAAACTGGCGCCTGAGTATTTTCCGAACCGAAGCGTCAAAGGTAAGGGTTATTGTTTTTGAGGCATGGTGAAGGGGTAACATAAAAAATTGCAACGAAATGCCCTCATCACATTATAGGGACCGGACGTCTTGGTTCGACCTCCCCGGAGATAAATAAAAGTCGGCGCCTATGAGCAATAGTGCCAGTATAATTCAATTTATAAGTCTTCATAAATCAATTCTAAAAAGGTAACAAATAAAAAACATAAACAAATGAATGGACTGAAAAAGAGAAAATGCCTTTATTTTCAACTTTTAGAGAAAATGTTCATTATAAAGGTTTTTACTTCTTTTAACAAGTATTAAAAGTAATTTAAAAAAAAACCGACTTGAAAATCGTGCAGATGCCACCACCACATCTTAACCAAATTTATATGGGACCACCCCTGAGGCACCTCCTTACTAACAAAAAAGAATCATAGAAATCGGACAAGGTGACAAATAATTATCGCTATACATAAAAAATTAAGAGTTTGAGGATTTTCTCATGGACCAAATTATTAGATTTTAACCAAATTTATATGGGACCACCCCTGAGGTACCCCCTTACTAACAAAAAAAAAGAATCATTGAAATCGGACATAGTGTTAAAGAATCTTCGCTGAACATGCTAAAAAAATATATACGGAATTGAGAACCTCCTTTTTTAAGGTCTGTTAAAAAATAACTCAAACTGAAGTTGAATATCTGTTTGCTGGACACCATCTATAAATGCTGTATTTTCCCACTTTTGAGAAAGTTTTAAGCGTTTAAAATTTCCTTAGCGAATTTAAAAATTGTTTCATTTTCAGTAGTGGAAGAGTTTTAGCAAAATTCTGGCACTTGAAAGTCATTAACTGTCATTGGGACACTAATACTACTTTTTGCTTTGTCTTATTTGAGTGCCACTTAATAGTTCAAACATTTAACTTGTGGATAAAATAAAAGGACACATGTAAGAAAATCAACTGCATTTTTAATGAAATATGTATATACAATTGTACATAAAATGCAAAGTAGGTATATGAAAAAAACTGAGACAACACTATAAATATATAATTTCATATCTTATTACATAACAAAATGTCAAATTATAAAGTAATGAATTTTCGTGACGTTCATTTACAACAAATTAAAAAAAATTAATAAAGGCATCTTACGAAGACATCTCTTCCGATTCTGATTCATTAGAATCAGAATTATGATCCACATGATTTTCTTTGATCTGTTCAATGTCACTTTCTTCTTCCCATTCACTTGCACTTTCCGATTGTGCGTCCATTTGAATGTCTTCCTCTTCTTCTGAATCGCTTGAATCTGAAATAATTACCAAACATGTTTAGAGACATTAGTTCATCAAAAATTACACTTTCGAGATATGTTAAATGTGACCATTGACATTTGACTAATGGCCATGAAGTTGATTTTTTTTATGAAGTAGAACTTTTTATAAAGATTTTTTCAACTCACCCTTATCATTATAAATGAGCAAAGGTTTCTCGTTTTCGCTTAAGTCTTGCTTTGAAGCACCAGTTACTTGAGGTAACAGCAAGTCCAACCTTCCTTTTAGCCTATTTAGCGGTGCTAGTAAGGACAGTCTTGTTTCTATACTACCCATATAAGAGCTAAACATTTCTGGTAAATCGGGGTTTGACATTAATACTCCAGAATGCACCTGGAGGATATATTTTAACCACAATGAACCAACTTGACTCCTGAAATATAAAATTGAAGGATTAAAAAGAGATATCATTAAAATAAATAAATAGAATAAACGTACGATAAAGTCTTTCCTTGAATGTAATTACTAAGTTCTTGTAGTAAAGGAACCAAAGCGGTTATGGGCAACCTTTTCACTGTGTTCCTTATAACCTCTTCATCTTTTTGATATAAAACTGTCTTCAGTATTTTCTTATCTTTACTATGCAATCCCTGTATCATCAGATTAGCTACACTATCTGCAGTTGGTACTTTACTACCTTCTGTTTTACCTAAAGTTAGATTTTCTAATCTTTTTTCCATTGGTACTTCAAGTTTTCCATCGATTTTCCTTTTAGTTGTAATTTTAGAGGTTTCAGAGGTTAAATATTGGACATTATCATCTACTATTGGTGTTATGGTTTTAGTTACTTGATCTTGTTTGGACGACTTTAGACTGCGAGGATCTTGTCTCACCAGGCACTGTAGTTTTTTACTGGTATCTAATACCTGAAAATAAATTATTAAGTTATCATGTTCCATAATTTGTTTTAATTGACAAGTTGATTATTTGGTTCTTACCACATTCTCAAAGGTAAGTAGAATTTCTGAGCCATGTCCTATGCAAATTGTGTCATCATCTCTGTAAACAGCACCCACAATTCTAATAGGAATGACTGTATCTTTACTTTGACCAGTGTCTGAAACTACTTGTATAGTTGTTTTTGGTTTCACAGGTTTTCCAGATTTTCTACAAAATAACAATGTTTTTTAAAAATGCAAAAAAGAAGAGTGAGATCTTCCCAGCTTGGAGCTACTCTAAATCCCAAACTGCTTTGAGAAAATAGGACACCTCATAACATAAGAAACATGTTAGAATCGAGTAGGAAAATACCACAATCATTACCGAAATCCAGCACAATGTACTGTAAGAAAATTGCCAGTGTGTTTTAATTGACATGTGAATATTATGGATTATTTTAAAGGGTTAGAAAAGAGTTTTGGTTCACATTATTTACAAATTTTGGGTTTTAATAGTTTTATTTTTGTTTTTTAATTTATAGAATTGATTTATTATTTAGTTTATATTTCTTTGATGTTATATATTTACATTAGATATAACTGTGATATATTTGGCTTGACCATGAAAATTAATAATATTTTATTTAGAAGAAGAAAACATATTTATTGTATACTCCAAAAAGGCTATGGACCACTCTTTATTGTCCCATATTTACAATTATATATGTATAAAATATTTGATAATAAACAATAAACATTAAATAGATATACATATATAAGAAAAAAGTTAGTCTTCAATTATCACTGAATTCCCTTTTCACACATAGAAACTATATGACATACATTTAACATTGCTCTTCTTCAGTAATAGTACTAAAGTTCAAGTTCTATTAGATCCAACCTCAGTAAAAAATTAAATTAATGTATTAATATTTTATCAAATATATCAAAAATATCTTAAAATACTGCATTTTTCGGACTATAAGACGCACCTTTTTACACAGAAAAATGGACTCATATTTTGAGTGCGTCTTATGGTCCAAAGGTAACATTAATAGATGATGCAGTTTTTGAAAGGAGCGACAACAATAATTCAGACGAAAAAAATACGAACGATTATATTAACAAGATGAGTGATAGTAACAATAGTGAAGATGAACTGAATATTGCTAATACGAGGTATTTTAACAATAAAAAAAATTATGATCCAAAAGTAACATTAAAACATATTTTTCTAAAAATCATCTCATACATTTGAGGTGCGTCTTATCGTCCGGTGCATCTTATAGTTCGAAAAATATAGTAAGTCAATAAAATCAATTTAAAAAACCAAAATTTATAGAAAATATAACCTTTATTTTAAACTAAAGACTTAACTAACATATATACTTTTTAATTATGAATTCTATTAAAAATTGAATTTGTCAGTATAAGCAGAAATAGTCCATTAATACCAAAACGAATTGGCCTTGCTGTCGCGCACGGAGCGAATAAACATTATTGGTTAGTAAACTGACTTTTCTTCATAATTTGAGAATATTTTAAAATATATATCAGGTTATGCAGAAAGCTTGACATTGATTTTTGTGTAAAAAATATTATAAGAAACTTAACCTACAATTTTTCAGTTTTTATTGTAAGTTTAATCATTTTCACAATTTGTCACAGATGTCAAATAAAAAATATATTTTTTAAATACCTTTTATTGGCAAATAAAATAAGAACTAAAATGTTTTAAATGTTTATTTTATAAGATCAGTCCCACCGCAATACATACTATTACACAGATACAAACTAGAATAAAGATATATAATGCCTGGCATTCTAAATGATACTCTTCGCAGTTTAACAGACCCCCTTACCTACCCAATTTCTACCAGATTGTTTTCACAATCAATAAGCTTTATATCCTTATAGGGCTTGATTTTTACTAAAAACTTCATGTTGATATCGCTTTTCATTTTTGATTTTTTTTTTAATTTCAACCCTCCTTAAATCCCCCATATTCAATCAGATTTTTTTTATAATTAAAGGGCTTCTTCTCCTTTTAGAGCTTGATGTTTGCTAAATATTTCAAGTTGATATCATTTTTCGTTTTTCACTTAGGATATTTTTTTTAATATTTTAACCTCCATTAACTCTCCAATATATTCATTTTTTTTTAGTATCAATAGGCTTTATCTTTTTATAAAGATTCAAATTTCATGTTGATATCGCTTTTCGTATATAAAAATATCCAACAACAAAAACTACTAATTATTATCTTTAAAAATTAACAGCAATATAAGTCTGGAAAAATGTCTTGTTTTCTTCTAAAAAGCACAATATTAAACAAAATATACAAAATACTGTTAAGAAACATTATGTTAACTTTCCCATCCTGACTCCAGAAGAACAGTATATAAACACAATAATGCTATAGAATAAACAGAAACAGAGTAATAGGTCACCAAATGTCGACCGAAATATCCCAGGTGTGTCTTTAAAAGGATGTGCCTAAACCAATTATTCTCTTTATCAATCCTGGGTATTCCCTCACCACAATATTTCATTATAATTTTTTTTATTTAAGAATGCAAAAATAATGATAAATAACATAGTAGTTGTATAAGACTTATTTTCTTTTTAGGAAGATCAGATCATGAAACAGAAAAATTATCAGAGTTGGGATAGCTTAATATATATTATTATATAATTGAAGAAACGTGTATTTAGCTTGCCTGGTTTATAAAGAACTACTAAGTAAAACCCCATTTTATATTTTTAAAAAGTTAACTGTTATATATTCTATCATTACTGTTATACAAGGTACAGACAGCCTTGCAATGCCAAATTACTTATTGAAATGCCTAGTAATATCAAAAGTAAATTGCCACTCAGCAGTTTTAATGTTAAAAAATTATGTTTTGGGAACATACAGATTCTACAGAATCCTCATTTTACTCTATAAAGTACTTTTGCCATCTATGTTTATTTATATTTGTATTAATTTTATATTATTTGTATTAATTTTATAAGTACCGATTTAAATTATTATTCTTAATTATTGTAATTTGGTGTTCGATTGAGTGGAGCAGCTACAACTAGCAGAGGATTTAAAAATGAAGATGTTTTATTATTTTTATTATTAATAATAATTAATAATTATATTAAATATTTACCCATTCAATGTTTGCTTATAGATATGCACCACTCCACTTCTTACAGTGGCAGCCATATTTGTAGATCCATCACTGGCTACATTTACAGAAACATTATGTGTAATATCTTCCATTAAAAAATTAGCAATTGCAGTTTTATCAGAAGAATTGCTGCTTAAACTCCAACAACTCAATGTTCTATCACCCTAAAAAAAGTAACACTTAGTATATGTAGTTATTTTCAGGGTATAGGTAGGATCTTCAGTGAATTGAACAATACAAATAGAAAAATCATCAAGTAGCTGAATATAGATTTTACTTCTTAGGCAAGAGTATTACTAGCTCAAATCTGATAGTACCTATGCTAGACAGTAATAATGCATAATTATTATGGATCTAAATTTGTGGTTAGAGTGCAAATTCAGAAATGTTGGAAAATGTAAAAATAAGATAAGTGAGCAACATACCCTCAGCTTAATTCACAAATTGCCTAACTCCATTTATGCAAATTTTACAGGATAAGCAAAAAACTAAATAATATATTTGTGGGAAGGATTTATGAATATTTCTAAAGTAGCAACTTGAGAAAAACAAATTTTTGTTGGAGTTATATGTTGTACCAATGGATTCGTTTGGCAATTTTACATTAGATGTAATGGAGTTTGCGAATTAAGGTGATAATATGTGATTTTGTCCACTTCCAAACACTAAAAATATGTCATATCTGGTTTTGAATAAGCACAGTATATTCTTACAGGAAAAGGTATTTATATCATTTTGCCAACATATAGGAGTGCATAAAATATAGCAGGTGTAGGTGTATGTTAAAATGACTATAAATTGACATAATATATGGTTTTGCCAGAATTATAAATCAAAATTCAGCCTAACTGCCAAAATAATCAGAAAATAAACAATTCACCATAGTTAAAAAGTTAAAATATTGTGTTTCCTTATTAAATAGTTTCAGAAATTTTCCAACTCACCCTAGAGCCAGAAATGAAATATGATTCACCTGATGATTGGGGACAAAGGAAGTGTAGAAATGTAACTTCTGATTTGTGTCCAGTAAATGTCCTTAGTACTTCCTTTGCCTCTATATCCCATAGTTTTACATTTTTTGCTGCAGTTAATAGTTGGTTACTTTCTGGAATGGCTAATATAGCCGTTAGTTTTTCATTTCCTACCTTCCAATTTCTAAAATACAAAATTAATTTACAAACTGCATTCTTACTAAAATGTATTACACATACTTGACCATCTTTTTCTTTTGAATGTTCCAAACAAGTACATTCTGATCTGAACCTGAATAAATTATATTTTGGTCCACTGTAGAAATACAACTTATAGCCTGACTGGTCTCGCTGTTGATAGTACATTCTAAACTTGCACTATTAATTGAATATAACAATAGGACACCTGATGTCGTACCTAGAACTACCTTAGGACTAATGGTAGATTCTGAATCCCGCCGTTTTTTCTTTTTCGGTGAACCCGCCTAAAAAAATAAATTAATACATAACTTAATTTGAAGCACATGGTAACCTACCTTGTATTTGAACAAATCAGTTTGAATGAAATGTAAACAAGTACAGGGTGACGTCAAGTGAAAATCTGGGGTAAATTCTTGTTCGAACGTATTTGAAAATGTATTCCATATTTTTAGTTTTCCATCTGTGGTTATTTGAGCAAAATATTTGCCGTCTTCAGTAAATTGAGAAGCCATTGTGACCGCCATTAACACATGTTTGAACTTCTTAACCTCAAAAATGTAAATAAATGACGTTTACCATTATTTGATAATTGACAGACATCAAATGGTCTAGGCATATATTCGTGAAAAAAAAACGTTTCTTGAGATCGTGTTCTAGAGGTAGAAAGTAGAAACTAGTCTTCATAGTAGAAACATTTTCAAATAATAAAAAAAAAATTGCAAGAAATTCATGTATGACATGTATACTTCTTCGCTTATTGATTTTTTTTGTAAATACAGTTATATTGTCTACAGTACTACAGTGTCAAAGTCACAAGTTTAAATGAAAATATTTTTGACATTGACAGTAGTTCAAACGCACTACCTGACGGTCTACGACTGTCATCTAACACATTTTATTAGGAATTTTCACTATTTATTTAGTTTTTGTAAATAGAACATTATTATTAATTAAGTTATTAAATATGGCTGGAAATTTTTGGCAAAGCTCACATTAGTAAGTTCTATATTTAATCGTTATTTAAAGTAAACAATATTACTTTTTTAGTCAACAATGGATGCTGGACAAACAAGATCTTATTAGGGAAAGACAACACGATTTAGCCATTTTACCTGAGGATGAATACCAAAAAATATTTATATTCTTTTCTAGTGGTAAGTTTGTACTTGAAAAGGAAAATTATATCGCATTCATTTATCCAATTTCTATATTTCAGTGATTCAAACTTTAGGAGAACAACTTAAACTAAGACAGCAAGTAATAGCTACAGCCACTGTATATTTTAAAAGATTTTATGCTAGGAATTCTTTGAAATGTATCGATCCCCTTTTATTAGCACCCACATGCATCTTTTTAGCTTCAAAAGTTGAGGAATTTGGAGTCATTTCTAACACCAGACTTATTACAACTTGTCAGACAGTCAGTAAGTAATTGTACTACTAAAGAGTGGAGCTACCAAAATTGTTTCCTCAGTTTGTGGCTTTATATTTAATAAACACAAATGTCTTATATTCAGGCCTCTTATAATTTCTTTTTCAGTCAAGAACAAATTTGGATATGCATATACTCAAGAATTTCCTTACCGCACTAACCATATTTTAGAATGTGAATTTTATTTACTTGAAAATTTAGACTGTTGTCTCATAGTTTATCAACCATATAGACCACTTTTACAGTTAGTTCAAGATATAGGCCATGAAGAGCAATTACTAACTTTAGCTTGGAGAATTGTCAATGACTCCCTTCGTACTGATTTATGTCTACTATATCCCCCATATCAAATTGCAATAGGATGTTTGCAGATAGCCTGTGTTATACTGCAGAAAGATCACAAAGCATGGTTTGCAGAGCTTAATGTGGATATTGAAAAAATCCAGGAAATTGCAAGATATATAATTAATTTATTTGAATTATGGAAAACATATGATGAGAAGAAAGAAATACAGGGGTTGTTGGCCAAGATGCCAAAGCCAAAACCAGCACCACAAAGATAAAATGCATTAATTAGAATACTTTCAATTTACAATTATTTCTTCTTAAGTATTAATTAGATAATTTATTAATATTTGTAATTTTTGATTTTCCAAATTTTGTTAGACATTACATTAATTAAGTATGGAAAATTTCAATTATTTCAGCTGCAGATTGACTTCTGCAAATTATAAAGATTTTTAAAAGATATGTACGACAAGCATGCATTGTGATTTATAAAAATTATAGGCCTCATCATTACTATGACATATTATTTTACTTCAGAAATTTGACACTACCTAAAAATATTGGTATTCTTTTGAAATTAAAAATTTATGTAGCAGTCAATTCACAGATGAAATACTTGATATTTTTATAATTTTGTAATTAATACAGAATTTTGTTCCTTGACTAAAATTGTAAAAAAGTCAAAATCATTTTAATTTTTATCATTCGTAATTGTACTATTTATAGGTATTCTATTTTTTAATTTAAATACAGTATGTAACTTATGAAAAATCTGGATAATCTATCTAAAAATTTAAATTTTTGTGGTTGAAATCTTACGCTTACTGGTAATTTTAAATAGGTATCTTGACTGAAGATTTAATAGCCTAGAGGTTCCTAAAAGAAGAAATCTAATTTTATTTCATGTAATTGTAAAATTTTTATTAAATACATTTTGTCTACAAAATTTGTTTTTATTAAAATTTGATATTGATTTTTACTTATTTGAGGTATTAACAGTGCCACCCGCAAAAAATAATTATTATTTTACAGCGTTTTTCACCTACTTTTTATACACTAATTCTCTTCTTTGGTTCTTTTTAGCAATAAACTTTACACGTATTTAAAAAATCTTCATTTATTAATTTATAAACTACATCCATGTCTTTCAATGTTCAGTGGAAAAACGCGTTAGCGAATTATTACAAACTAATAATCTACAATATAATATTCTTGCAACAGTAAGAAATAGAAAACTAAAACAAGGAAGAAAAACGTCTTCTCTTTCAAATGAATTCTTAATGCCCAAAAAAATCATCTTAAACTTATATCATTTAATACTGCATAAAATATTTCATCTGCACAGAACTATCTTAATTTTTTAATACATATTCAATTTTTGAAGAGCTAGTAATATTTCTAAATGCAGTCGTTTATTACAAATAAATAACTATGTGAACATTTTTATTGGATTGTTTTTCTTTTCACAGACCACAAATGCCTGTTAAGAAAAACTCATCAATAGTATATTTACAAGACAGATGATATATTCAGTTGTGTATTTGTATTATACTACATCAAAAGGTAAAGTTGTAGAAGATGTATGTACTAATGGACTCGCTGATGCACTTATATGGCAACATGTAAACATTCAAAAATTTTAGAACATTGTTGTAATATTTAAAAATACTTGCAATTTCATCACTAAATATGCTGTTGTGTTGTTTTTAATTGTTTTGCTGTTTTGTGATATTAATTATGGAGTTTTTTTTTTATTGTAAATTTGGCACATCATTTAAACAGGTGGAAAAGTTTAATCATTATTTCAGATGGTCCATATTAACCAAATGAAGGTGGAGGGTGGCATTTATGAATGTCATCATTGTACATGAACAATAACCATTCTTTATTAAGTCAGTAATTATTAGTTTTCATTTATATTATTTATAAATCATTTTTCAAATTAATTTTTTATTTATCTAGCTACTACCTATACAGTACTAGAACTGAGAGGAAAATTATGTTGTGGAAGAATACCTTTAGTAACCAGAAAACATTTTTAAATTTATTTATGAATTTTACTTAAGACCCAACTCAACTTTTTTCTTAGGTTAGAAAACAATTTTTCATTCGAAGTAATTAAATTTCTATCTCTTAATGTCAACAAATACGTAACATGATGAGTTTAATAAAACGTATGTCGCAAATTAGCAAGATTGCAAATTGGCACCAATATATTTTTAAATCTTAACACAAGTTTCCTGAAACAATTAGGGCAAATATAAAAGAGTTTATTTTGTGTTTTGGCTTTTAAATACTATAAAAAATGGTGGAAAGTTTAGAACTTTTAAATATTTGTTAAATATCACTTATTAAAATATTTTTCAAAATATTATTGTTCAGAGCTGTATTTTTTGTGATAAAAAAGTCGCTGTCATTGACGAGTTGAACTTGGACTTAAGCGTTATTCGTTATATTAATCGCAATCGTCAAAGTTGCATCAAATAATCAAAAGCATGAGGGATAGTACATTTTTCGCACAACTTTACCTATTCCACATTTGTCTTTCCTATTATAGGAAAGCATCCTATTTTCAGAAAGTTTCTTACACTGTTTTGTACCCCATATTAGGTATCAGGAATTAAAAGAAAATTAATCTTAAAATTATTTCCGTTATGCTATGATTTCTTCTTAGATGGTAGTAAATTATGTCTTCTCATATTGCTCAGAACCCCATCTAAAGATGCAGTCTTCTTTTTAGCACTTCCTTTAAGGGTTTCTTCACCCTTATTACGAATTTTCAATTTTGGGGAGGTTACTTCATCCATAAAATCAAAATCGGTGGGTTCTTCTGGTCTGTAAATAAACAATATAAGTAGATAAATAATTCGTTTATTCAAAACTAACTCTTTAGATTCATTGTCATCCTCTGGTTCTTCAGTTATTTCCGGAGAAGGTGAACGATAGCCCGGGCATTTCCAATATAATTCTTGACTTTCACCATTTTCTAACATTGTATACAAACGGTCTATTTCCTCTGGTTTGGGTTCCCACGGTCCCTTACAATCCTTTAACTCTTCATCTGAGCATTCTATATCCCAATCATTGTCCATTTTTAAAAGAATTAATTCAATTAATAATAAAAAGGCCCGTATTTATAAACAAAACTTAGCTGAGTCGGACTTGGGTAAGTCGTCCTTGAACGAAAATCGAAGTTCGGTTATATCGCGTGAATTTAGAGATGGGTAGTAACAAATCCGTAAATGAACATAACAGTTACAGATTTGCTAATAGCCATCTCTCAATTCCTGTGTAACACCGGAACCACCTCGAACTATAGAGACGTTGTAACCGAACTTCGATTTTAGTTCAAGGACGACTTACCCAAGTCCGACTCACGTAAGTTCTGTTTATAAATACGGGCCCTCACGTAAGTTCTGTTTATAAATACGGGTTTTTGAACAAATATTTTTTATTTCCAACCTCAATAAAATGACACTAAAAATTAAATAAAAAGAAGATGCGTTCGATTTTCGCAAAAATGGCAACATGGCACCTCGTTCATCTAGGGCATTGATAAGGCAACGTAAGGATACGTCATATGTATTATTTTTGATATACAAAAGTGGGACCGGTAGGCGTGGCTTTTGCACTCACTAAAATGGCGGAAGAGCAGAACCGGATTTACAAGTTTTTATTGTACTATTTCTGGTTAAGCATCATTATTTGAATAATAAAAAAATGAATTTCCTTTTTATAGACATTGACTTAAAAGGTGGTGGAAGGCCGAGGTTATAAAAGAAGGGGGTTTAAAAGCTTAAATATGCCCGGTTTTCAGCCGAGAGGTGCTGAATAAAGTAAATGAAAGAAATAAAATATAACTGATTTAATTATCACTCAAGTGGCTATTAAGCGCTGGAGAATATATTATTTGCAAAATTACAACTAATCAATGACCATGATATAACTAACTTGGGGCCGATTCCACCATTGGGTTTAACGAAGTTTAAAATGACATTTTTATATAAAATGTAATTTTAATCTTCAATTAATAGTTTAAACTTTAACACAATGGTGAAATTAACCCTAAAGCGTTGAAATCATTCACAGAAAAAATAAATAGTACATGTTTGGTTCACATAAGCGACAAAAGTAAACAGAGTTCGATTTATTGGATCAGTCGTCACACGTTTGCACTAGGGCACATAAATCCATAAATCCCAATCTTTAGTTTTTCGTTTTTTTTATGAGCCCAATGCTTTCTGTCTTTAAATCGGAAAGTACAAGGTCGCAAATGTCAAGTAATCTAAAATCTAAACTTACTTTAATTAACTGGAGTGCGTTTAGAAACCACGCACGGCGCGTCTGGACCCTATTCTAATGTACGTGGTCAGGCGCTCCGTACGAGGTTTCTAAACGCACTCCAGCTTTCTCGAAATTAAGAACAAATGTTCATACACTAAAAGCTCGATAATCAGATACGAAACTTAATGCAAGGCTCGCGGAAAATGGCTAATAAGCAATCTCTGTGTAGGTAGATGCACTATTCAGGAAATCAAAATGTGGATTAATCTTACTTGGTCTTGGTCCTTTTGTAGATTCAGACTGAAAGGTGTATATCTTCATGCAAGACATTCAGTAAATCAGCGATGCCACAACCAGCGATGTGCTGGTGCACTTCTAACAAATGTAAAATATGAAGAGATCTTACTTGAGACCTATAGATCCAATGACGATATTATGGTAGTTGGTTTGAGCTGGGCTTCTCACCATCTGCAGAGATTATGGCTACTTATGTAAAGGCCTACCGTAGTAACACACAACATGCACCACAAGCATGCCGGTCCAATTTAATTGATCTGTGCACAATAATCATGCATGTATGATTGAAAGTCAGACAAAGAATGTAAAGATAAAGTTGAAGTCTCAATCATAGTTAAAGTCACAGATGAAGTTAAAGTTAACAGCAGAAGAGTTGAAATTGTAGGCTGGTGATAAAGGGAGGCCAACATCTAGGTAATAAATGTGTATCGAGTTAGGAAAAGTATCCACTGTAAGCGTTTTTCTTGACCACTGAGGTAAAAACCAGAATATTTCCTTATACACAATTTCTTCGCTAGGCAAAATAAGAAATAAATTTGTAAGAGTACTTCCCAAGTGTTTTTCCAAAAGCTCTAAGAACAAAATTGACGAAAATGGCCTAATCCAAGTTCAAATTCTAAAACTTGAACATTACAGATAAGTATCTTACTGTAAAACAAGTAAAACCCCTTTGTTGACTAAATGGTTGAATAATTCATTACCTACATGAAGGTAGAATAGGGACTAAAGTTTAGCAGAAAAAGCCACTAGAAATGATGAACAAAACAGACTGGGGCATATGAACGACAAGCAAATATTGTAAATGCAAATAATGTGTACTGTGATTAAATTAAATTGTACAAGGAATAAAGTTTTAATATTTTCTTATTCATATATATGAGTGATATTTATTTTTAATACTAGACAAACGGTTATGGTTTTGTTGCTAGTCTCATTAAAAAAAACTAAGTGAGTATTGATGTTAAATGTTTATTATTATAAGTACTTATATACAGTATGTTCATAATATGCACTATACAAACTTAAATATCATATTCCTGAATTCATTTCAAGCATAAAATGTCCTATGCACAAATATCCAATTCTACATGGTTACCAAGCTAGAAGAGTTTAAATATCAAAAGATATATTAACATAGTATGCCATGCGTGTTGGAATATGTCGAAACACAGCACTGAATGTTTGGTGCCTTGGAACTTGTCGGCATGGAAATTGTCACTGATACTCCATACAAGCAGCTCGCGAATATTCATGACAAAATCATTAAAGGTACACTATTTTGGCATATTATTAATTTAAATTTATCATAAAAAGGAAACGTAGTTGACAAGTGTAGTACTGAGTAGCCAACTGACGTTTATAATTATTGTTGATAAAATACCAAAAGTTTTGAAAATGTGATATTTAAGTTTGTATAGTGCGTCTTGCAACATTTTTTTTAATAAATGCCCCAAGTAAAGAAACATTTACGATTATTACAATCTAATCATTAAAATCAATTAGAAATTTTATTCTAACTTATCAAGGGATGAAAAACTTCACAAATTGATATTCTACTATCTAGTATACCTTAGAGTCTAAATCACTTAACTGCACTATACTATGCTTTAACATCACTGAACTCAAAAGGCTTGGTCTCTTGAGTCTTCTTATTAGATTTGGCATTGTTGAGGAGCTGGATAATCTCGAGGTTTCCATGCTCGAACAGTTGTTGTTGGTGACTACTGGCAAATTTTTGTATTGTATTTTCAACAGTCTCCACTTTAAGGTCCCTATGAAGATCAGTATTGTGGCAGTACCAGGGTGCAGCATTGACGTTGTTCCTTAATGCTTTACTCTGGAACCGTTGAATAACTTTGATGTCACTTTTCTGGCACATCCCCAAAGTTGGCGAATCGCTTCATTTTCACCAATTCCTTTAAACGCACTAATCTGAAACAAATTATAGGTAATTAAAAAGGTATATTAATATTGTTTTAAATTAACTATAATAAAACAAACAATACTCATGCATACACAAAACATGAAGCTCTACTTTTCAATCAGCTGTAGAACTAATAAATACAATTGGTGGAAGGACAGCAAATGTAGGTTATATTTAAATAGAAATAAGAATATAAAATGCCTATAAATTAAATTTGATAAACGAAATGGCGTACGATTAATGTACTTCTCAAGAAAATGCTTGAAACATACTGCTGAATTTAGAAGGTTACCAATTATACTTATTGACAAACTGTATCCACGCGCTACGTATTATAGGATTTTTTGGAAATCTATAAATATTATTTCGTATGAAAAAGTATTATTCCAATATAGGTAGGCCCAACAGTTGATAGATAATTTTTTTTGCATTTTTAAAAGCATACTTTTACAAATTTTATACAAACCTGTCATAATACTGTCCTGTATAATATTTATAATTTTGATACTAACCTATGAAACGTTATTCCAATCGATTTTTCACAAAAACGTCTATCGCTAGAGCAGGAACGTATAACACAGCAAGGCATTATATACTTTATAAGTTTGTAACACTCAAAATTTGCTCAAACACAAATTAAATTCAAATTTAATTACACAAATGACACTAAAAATATAACCTATAAAATTTGACAATTTGCACTCACAGTAATGGCGGACCGGTCCCACTTTTCGTTTACGCATGTCGTATCCCTAGGTTGCCAGATCAATGATCTAGGATGTCGGAAGTGAAAAAAAAGGATATATCGATTTCTGTGATATCGATATTTATTAAAATACCAGCCGAAAATACCGATCAAGGAGAAGCGACAGTAGCTGTCGGTGCAGTGTTGCCAGAATATATTTTTGTAATGTACCAGATTTATCTAAAAAATGTACCAGATTTCATAAAAATGGACTAGATTCTATAAAATTACCAGATTTTTCTAATTATGAAGTATGGTCATTAAAGAGCCAAAAAAGGTTTATAAAAAACACGAACACAACAATTTTAAACAATATTTTATCTCTCGACAAATTTCTGACACTATTTTATCTCTCGAGCAGTTTTTGAATAAGATTTTAATACCTTTTGATACTCTTTTATCTCTCGAACAGTTTTTAAATCTTTTTTTAACTCTTCAGCTATTTTGAAACAATATTTTATCTCTCGATAAATTTCTAACAGAGTATTCTATCTCTCGAGCAATTTTTAACAACTTTTTTTATCTTTTTAGCAAACTGCACAATATTCTAACTCTCGACAAATTTATAAAAATATTTTAACTCTCGATAAATTTTTGACAATGTTTTATATCTCGAGCAATGTTTGTACAATATTTTATCTCTCGAGCATTTTTCAATAGTATTTTATCCCTCGAGCAATTTTTGAACAAGGGTTTAACATTTTGTAATACTATTTTAGCTCCAGCAATTTTTGAACACGATTTTAACAATTTATAATACTATTTAATCTCTGGAAAAATTATTAAATATTTTTATTTCTCATTAAATTTCTAACAGTATTTTTATCCCTAGAGCAATTTTTGAACCATATTTTACTCTAATACTATTTTATACTTCGACCAATTTTTAACACCGTTTTTTACCTC